CCATCGTGGAGCGTCGAGCATAATTGCCCGACGCCCCAGAATCTATGAGGATTTTCCAAGGCTTCTCGAAGCCCTTACGATCGCCTCCACGACCAGCAAGCCCGGCTTACACACACGTTCCGTGTTCAAGAGAGCGGAGCTCTTCGAGGCTGGGCCCTGTTGACCTATGCCTCCTTGAGGCTCAACAGAACTCAGTGCTTCCCCAGTAGGTCGACCCGCGCCTACTGAGTGGTGTTGTTTCCTCGCGACGGACCAGACTGGTAGGCGTTGGGGCGATGGTTCGAAGAACCTTGACGCGCCTTGAGCTGTAAGCAACCTTTCCGAAGGTGACAGGTGCTTCCACATACAAAACACCGTCGAATGTGTGCATGCTGCCCGGCAGCTCGGAGCTCTGCTCCCTCGTCCTCAGCATAGCTGAGATCCATGGGCATAGGCCCGATCGACGAGCTATTGGAGTGTGCATTTGAACCAAGTCGTGCCGACTTAAAATTGAATTCGGCATTCGATGCCACATTCACCGCCTCTTCAAATGAGGGTGGATGCACACGGAATACTTCCATTCTGGCCACGCCAGATGGATGCCTTCCATAAACACGGTCACTGTGACCGCCTCCGGGAGAGAATCTGCTGTCATCCCGGCAATGAGATTCGCAACTCTTGGACAAAGTCCATTAATTCCCTGTTGCCCTGTTGAGTGGTAAGGAAACGCGATCGCACGCGATACGCCAGATTATGCGGCGAGAATACTCGGGAGAACTGCATTTTCAGATCCGCCCAGGAGGGAAACGCAGCTCCGACCGAAGGGCCGCACGTCAGTACGCATTCTCGCGCTCGACCACCGAGCTTTGAGATGGCTAGCGCCACGCGCTATTGCTCGGTATGGAGCATGGCGGATGCGATGGCCATCTCGACCTCTCTCACCCAGAGCGGGAGATTCTCCCCATCCTTCCCCTGAAAGACCTTAACGCTCACCATGAGCGGCTTAGGTCGGGGGAAGTCTTATGTCACCGACGGTGGCGTCAAAT